ACGACTCCTCCCCCTGGGGCAGGGGGCGGGGCTAGCGGCACGACTCCCACCCCTCGGGGGGGGTAGCGGTACAACTCCCATCCCCACACAATCCTTGCTCTTGGTGAGCGATTCTCCCGTGCAAAGAGGAGGCTCTTTACACCCTCCCCCCACCAGCTCAGTGGCAGGCCTCGGTCTGGCCCTGTGTGCTAGCCACTGACGTGGATTTGGGCTCCTGACGGCTCCCTGGAGCACTGAGCGTGCAGTGCTGTGATCACACGGCCCCTGGAGCCAGCCCAGCAGACGGGTTGTTTCCTTTCCTGGCCCGTCCCCTGCGTGAGGCGCGTGTGACCCTTCTCTTTGATCCGGCAGGTGAAAGCGGATAAGGACAGTGCTAACCTGGCCAAGCTCCGGCAGGCATCGCGAGGAGTCAACCAGGCCACCGCCAGTGTGGTGGCCTCCACCAAGTCAGGGAAGTCTCAGATTGAGGAGAAAGGTGAGTGCCAGGCCCATCTGGGTGGGGGAATCTCTGCCCAGCTTCCCTAAAGGACTCGTCACTTCTCCAGCCACTGTGCAGATCAGAGCCTCTCCCATTTCACTGTCTCCTGTTCGCCCATCGGGCCCATCCTTCATCTCGGTGTGCTCAGCACAGCGTCCGGGGGAGTCCTGGGCGCGGGGGAGCAGCTCCTAACGGGTACAACTCGTCTGTTCTTCCCCCGCAGACAGTATGGACTTCTCCAGCATGACACTAACTCAGATCAAGCGCCAGGAAATGGACTCGCAGGTAGGGGCATCGTCTCTTAGGCTGGCTAAAGCCTGCACCATTGTTTCTGGCCTGTTGAGGGTTAACGAGGGCGGGTTTAGCAGACAGACGCGCTGCTGGGGAGCTGAGGGTGGCTCAGAGAGGTTGGGGAGAGTCCCAGAGTGGGCTGGGGCCAGGTTGGGGTGGGGATGGGGAGGCCCAGCTGCTGGCCTAGGTGATGAGAAGGCCTTCTCCTTCCCTACTAGGTGCGAGTGTTGGAGCTGGAAAACCAGCTGCAGAAGGAGCGCCAGAAGCTGGGAGAACTCCGCAAGAAGCATTATAAGCTAGCGGGTGTGGCGGAGGGCTGGGATGAGGACGGTAAGTGCCCGGGGACGGGGGTGGGGGGGCAGGGAAGCGTACAGCCTGAGCTCAGCGGGGGGTGGCAGGGGGCAAGAAGCAGACCAGCTGGGAGGATTCACTCCCTGCCTCTTTCCCTGGTACCCTGGAGAAATCTGATACAAGCCCAGGCAGCAGCACCACTGCCTTTCCTGGGGCCTCCTGTAGCATCTGTCCCTGCCGGAGAACTCCCGCCCCGGGACGCAGGGGTCAGGGATCATTAGCCCACAGTCCTCATGAGGAAACTGAGGCAGAGAGGTTGTGGTTTGCCCAGGGCCACCCAAAGAGTCTGAGCTGGGAGTAGCACCCAGGAGTGTCTGCGTCCCTTGCTTAACCCACTAGACGGCACTGCAAAATTACACCGCAAAACAGACTTCCGCTTGGGGTGCTGTGGGAGCTGTAGGGCAACTCCCGGCTACTCCCCTCCAGCCTCTGCCAGCAGGGGGCGCTGTGGGGAGCAGAGCAGGAGCTGGCTGTGGGGGACTCCCGGCTACTCCAGTCCTGCCTTTGCCAGCAGGGGGCACTGTGGGGTGCAGGGCAGGAGCTGGCTGTGCGGGAGCTCCCGGCTACTCCAGTCCTGCCTTTGCCAGCAGGGGGCGCTGTGGGGAGCGGGGCAGGAGCTGGCTGTGGGGGACTCCCGGCAACTCCCTTCCAGCCTCTGCCAGCAGGGGGCGCTGTGGGGAGCAGGGCAGGGACGGTGGCTGAGGAGACCACACATTTCCTCTGAGGAGTCGTCCCTAGAGCCTGGCAGGGATAGTATTTGTTCTCTTCTAACGCCTGGGAGCCCCAGTCCCAGAGGCCTCTGACCCTCTGTCCGCCCTTGCTGGCGTTCCTCCCCCTCCAGCTGCAGAGTAGCTTCCCACGCCTGAATCAGCCACCCACGGACGCCCCTTCAGTTGGCCGGGACCCAGCTTGGTGTAGCTCTTTCTGAAGATACAAAATAAACCGGTGCAAAATCCGCCTTGAAGCACGTCCTCTGCGTTCCCAAGGACCCTCCTCCAGCACGCCCGGCCGGGCAGCCGCCCCACCCTCGACTGGGCAAGTAGAAAGTGCGGAGGCCTGAAGTGCCCGGAGCCATGGCAGCGCCGGCTCCCCACAGCCACGGGACACAGACTCTGCCCGCGTGTTTAGTGCAGCTGCTTTGGGTTCCGACTAAACCTCGGTTCGCTCTTGCACAGACTCTGAACCGGTTCTGCCTCGGCGACACGAGCCAGGACGCACCCCGGGCCCTGGCGGCGGCAGCTCCGATCTGGCGTGGGGTACTAGGGCTTTGACCCCACTGTGCTTCGCCAGCCCAGTTCAGAGCCAGCGTCGCGCTGGGCAGGGCGTGGAAATGCAGCCAAGCTGGTTCTCCTGCTGGCGAGGCTGGGCGGGCTCTGGGCTCGGTGCTGGGCACACCGCCCTCCCCACCCCCATGCTTCCCCTCCCACTTGCTGTTCTAAGCTGGCTCTGTGCAGCTGAGAGCCCGTGGGGGGCGTGCTGCACCCGGGGGGTGGACAACGAGTGCCTTTCACTGCTGGAAGAGGGCCAGCGTGCCTCAATAACACCTCATCCGCAAGTGTCTTACTGCACTTCGAACGGGGCCATCCCAGGGCAGCCGGCCTCCAGCCGCGGGGAGCTGCCAGCAAAGCCCCAGCACGCAGGCCGGGGGAGCCCTGGTCCCTTAAAGCCATGTGTTAGACAGCCGGTGGGGGCAGCGCCCGAGCTACCAGCCTGCCAGCCCCTGAACCCCTGGTGGGAGAGGGTCCTAGCCTGGTCCTGGGAGCCGACCCATCCCCACCCCAGAGCAGGGAGCTGTCCCAGCCTCGTGCCTGGAGCAGATCACTGTGTTAGTGCCAGCAATAAACCACTATCAAAGGTGCTTGGCCCGGCGCAGGTGAGAGGCGTCTTTCCGAGCTCCTGCCTCTCCATCACAGCCTCTGCCTTTGCCAGCGGGGAGAGTTACCCAGGCCGCCCCAGCGGGTAATACATGAAGCTGCCCCACCGGCTCTGATCCCCGCCCAGTGGGAAGGGGGCACTTGGACCCTGGCTCCAGCCACCTTGCAAAAGAGCTCTGCAGGGCACCCAGCTGCCGGTTCTCCTCACTGATCTGAGCAGCATGGCTGGTGCAGACTGCAGGCGTCTGGTGCTGGACTGATCCTCGGTGCCCTTCGGGGGCTGCTACGGAGCAGAAAGCTGCTCTAGAATTTGGAACAAGCACGGTCCCCTTCGCTGCCTCTGTGCCCTCCTTACTGGTGCACAGCTGGGCATCTTCTGGGCACTGTGAGCCCGCGGGGGCAGCCCATGGCCGGGTTTGCTTGGGAAGCGAGGGATGGGAGCAGAGGAGTGACCCCTGGGAACGCCTCCCTTCCCTTCTAGACGGGGCAGAGGAGGCTGAAGACGCTTGGTGGCCTGTGTCATTTCACCCCATTCGAGGCAGCGAATCCAAAGGCAACCCGGGGTCTGAGCTCACCCCTCCCTGGGAGCCCAGCCAGCTGCTCAGAACATGGCCACCCCATCACTTAGATCCTCCCCCCTCCCCGCTCAGGCAGCACCAGCTGGGGATGGAGGGGCAGTCTGCCCCTAGCAGAAACAAAACACCGTCCTGCTCTGGGCTTTCAGGTGCTGCCTCTCAGCCAGTGCTGACAAAGGAGTCGGTGAAATACCCTCCCTGCTGACACAGCCGGGCAGTCCTGGGCTGCTCGTACCCAGCGGACAGCCTGCACGGGGGCAGTTCATGCAAATCGGGGCCCGTTTCATCCCATGGGAATCCCACTGCAGTGAGATGTGGAGGCGAATTTGCCTTTGCGTGTGCTTGGCCGGTCCCCCTCCCCCTGCCAGGGCTAGTGGCTGCGGGTCGGTGCCCAGGGCCAGTTCCCCTCCCCCTGCCAGGGCTAGTGGCTGCGGGTTGGTGCCCAGGGCCGGTCCCCCTCCCCCTGCCAGGGCTAGTGGCTGCGGGTCGGTGCCCAGGGCCAGTTCCCCTCCCCCTGCCAGGGCTAGTGGCTGCAGGTCGGTGCCCAGGGCCAGTTCCCCTCCCCCTGTCAGGGCTAGTGGCTGCGGGTCGGTGCCCAGGGCCAGTTCCTCTCCCCCTGTCAGGGCTAGGGGCTGTGGGTCAGTGCCCAGTCTCACATGTCTCTGGCTGGGATGGGGTTGCCACCTAGTTGGTGCCCCGTGTCTAATTTGAAAACCAGCTGGTTCAAGCAGTGGCGATAATTGGGCCCGATTCAGACCTAGTCTGTGTCCTACGCCGCAGAAGCCATTGCTGCCCCCCCAGGGGCTGAGTCCGTCCCTTTGGGCAGTGGCTGCAGCCGGGCCCTGGGGCAGGTCTAAGCCAGATCTGCACGGGATGCCCAGGGCCTTGGGAGAGGCGCTCTTACAGCCTGGCCGGTGAAATCCAGTCTGGCCAGTAACCTGCCTTTTCAGACAGGACAGAAGTTTGTCCTCCCGAAGCTGCCAGTCACCCAGTCACCCGGCAGCGCTGGCTCCCCTCTCCCAGGAGCCGGCCACGGCCCAGCCGCCTCCAGGGCCCAGGACAAGCCGGGACAGCCCAGCCTCTGTCCACACTGGCTCTGGCGTGTGGCACCACATGCCAGTCTGGGCGCCTGTCGTGCCCGTGTAGGAGAAAACAGAGCCCCGGCCTTCGGACAGGCAGCATGTGGGTCTGTGGGTGTTCCCCATGTGGGCCCCAGCCCCGGATCTCGGCTCTGGGACACTAAACACTAACCCTTGCTCCTGGCGGAGCCCATGCGGTGCTATGGCCTGCAGAGGCGCCCAGCCCTGTAGGACTTTGTGTCTGGTGCTCTCACTGCTTCCAAGTCAGCGTGATCCACCCCCACGCCACCGCCAGACCAAATACAGCCCCTTGCCCTGCAACTACCTCCGAAGCAATAGGAGCTGCAGCAGGCAGGCGGGGGGTGGGGGACGTGCTTACACCCCCTTCCTCCGGTGTGGGGTCCCACCTGGGCGGCTCAAGCCCAGCTACCTCAGCTCTCCGGGCTGGTGCCACAGGGACAGAGCCAGGAGGAAGAGCAGGGATAGAGGGGTTGGAGGAGGAGGAGGGGCTGATGGAGGGGTTCTGGGGGATGGAGGAGGCGGGGGGCTGACGGATCTCAGATGAATCTCGGGGAAATCCACCGTTTGTTTCCAAGTGAAGTGACTTTTCCTCGTTTCTTTTTGAACTGTCCCAAGCCCGGGTGACCGAGCGTCCCTGGGAGCCGGTCCCGGAACACCTGACAGCTCCCTGCGCCGTCTGGCCCGCACAGGGCTAAGGCAGCCAGCTGCTGCTAACAGAGCTTTTAATGATTGTATGGAGGGAGGGTTCATGGTCTCGGATGTTGACTGTTTGGTCTCAATTTTTAAATAAATCTTTCAGCCCAGTGGTGGCAGTCGCTCTGCAGTGTCCGGTTCAGTGTGGGGTTCAGGAGAAGTGACTTGTTCGGGCCACGCTGCATTTTCTGTGTGGCTTCACATGGAATATTATGGGCTGTTCTGCGCACCCCTGGTGGAAAAAACTAGCAGCGAAAAAGGGGCTCTGTAGCCGGGCATGCGGGTCTCTGTAGGGAGGCAGTGTGGCCTAAAGGAGAGTGCACTGGCAGTCGGGAGACCTGGGTTCTAGTCCTGGCTCTGCTGGGTGACCTTGAGCAAGTAACATCTTTGTGTCTCTGTGCCTCAGTTTCCCCATCTTTAAAATGGGGATCAGGATTCTACCCTCCTTCGTAAAGCCCTGTGATATCTGCAGATGAAAAGTCCTAGATGATAATAGTATCCAGCCCTTACATAGCAGTTTTCATCCATAGATCGCAAAGGAGGTCAGTGTGCTTAGCCCCATTGTACAGATGGGGAAACTGAGACACAGAGGGGAAGTGACTTGCCCAAGGTCAGCCAGCAGGCCAGTGGCAGAGCTGGGCATTAAACTCAATTTCCTGAGTCCCCGTGCTCTGTCTACTAGGCCACACTGCCTCCCCTAAGAAGTAGATATTACTATATGTTCCTGCCTGACCCCCTCACTGTCTGAGCACATGAGACAGCTTCCATCTGAAGGGAGATGGAAAAGACTGGGCGAGAAGGAGAAAGACGTGATGAAACAGGCATGCCAGGTGCTCGTACAAGAGCAAGAGACACTGAACCAGAACGGCAGCATGTTTAAAACTGATAAATGGACATTTGCAGCCAATGCATCGTTAACCTGTGGAACTGACTGCCACAAGCTAGCAAGGCCAACGCATACAGCCTGTACATTGACATGGACAATGAGGCGGGCTAGAGATCTGTGAGATGACGTACAAAGGCTATGAACACGCAGCCTTTCGCATATGAGCCACCCACTAGCTGCCTGGAGCCAGGAGGCCTCCCCTCTGGGAAAGCTCCTTGTATAACTGTCTTTGGGGTTCCCTGGTCTCTGTTGGCGACAGGAGCCAGGCCTGCCTGGGGGGCTGCACTCTGCAGCTATTAGCGAGGGGCAGGGGCCTCGGGGCCGTAACCCAGTGCCCCTGCTGAGTAAATGTCTGGGCTTCATTTGTTGCAGTCACAAATGACGCCCCATATCTCCCAGCAGCTGGGGTGGGGGGAGCCAGCTCCAGCCTCGCGCCTCCCCTGCACTGTGGCACTACCGGGTCCCTTCCTTGCTCTTCTGTTGCATCCTTGCTCCCGGGGTTTAGCTCCCATCTCTTGGGTTCTCGTGCAAGGAGCCCTCTGGCAGTGGACTAGGGCTCTCTCCAGCTTGGGCATGTCCTTGAGCCCGCAGGTTCGATGCAGTGGGGTTATTTCCTTGGGCTTGGGACGTTATTACACTTTCTGGCCTAACCCGTGCAGGGTTTGAGTTGCATCCCGTTTCCGGCTCTGGCTCACAAGGCTGCAGGCATTGGTTGCTGAGGGCGCTGTGCGCTCCCTTCTCGCTGAACGCTGTCAGGGACCCGCAGGCTCAGCGCTCTGCCCCCAGCTTTGGAACAGTCCCTGGGACTGTGCCAGAGCCCCCAGGCGTCTCTCTCTTCCGCCAAGGGCAGCCACGCGGCGTCACCACCTCTGGGCCGTCAGCATCCCGCCTCACCCCCAGACAGCCCTGCAGAGCCCCATCCATCAGGAAGCATTGGCAGTGACACTCAAGCAGCGTTGCCAAAGCCAGCAGCTTTGTTAGGGAACGGGCACACAGCCCCGGGGGGAGCACTGACGGGTAAAGCAGAGTCAGCCCAGAGCCCAGCCAGGCTGTAGTGACCCCCTTTCTGCAAGCTGTGTGTCTCTGGCAGGCTCCAGGTGAGAGCCCCCATCTCTTTCCAGCAGCCAACTCTTCTCCTCCCACCTCTGCAGTGCTTTGTTCTCCAGCTGGGGGCGCTGCTCAGCCTCCCTGCAGAGAGGTGGGGAAATCTAGACCCCTCTGGGGCTTTGGGTGCTGGGGGCACGGGCCTGGTGATTGAGTTTGCCATTGTCTTCTCAAATGCGCCACTGATATGGGGATCAAGGCCCAGCCAGCTGGGTGCCACCCAGACCCATGTCTCCTAGCCTGGTGTGAGAGCAGAGTCCCTTTCCCGCCCCCATTGGGTAACAATGCAGCGTTTAGGGGAAACCGAGGCACAAACAGGGCTCATAAGAGAAAATTCCTTCTTTGTCTCATACACCCATAGACCAGCCTGGCACCTCCAGAACCTCCACTTTACCAGCCAGTCTCAGCGCAGCGCCCAGCACTGTCCTCCTGGGCTGGGCCAAGGGCTGGCCGTTCAGTTAATAATGTTCTCCCCGCTGCTGTGGGCAGGCAGGGCAGGGGCTGGACTCACCCCTTTCTTTGGCAGTTGGGAAGGGGCGGAGGATTGAACGCATTAGGCGGCTGGCAGGAGGAGCAGGAAAGCGCAGTGAGGCTGTGGGGTCGGTGTGAAGGAGAGGAAAGGGGCAGGGATGGGGACTGGTTACAGAGCTGAGACCAGGGAGTAGCCAGTGGAGCTGGAGGAGGAGGCAGAAGTGCCCAGTGAAAATTCATGGGAGATGGAGTCTAGCAAGGGAGCCCAGCCCCCAGGAGGAAACTGAAAACTACAACTCCCATGAGGCTCAGCAGCACCAGTTCCAAATCAAATTGAGTGATCAGGTTTTCAACCAAAACCAATTTTTTCCCCACGGGAAGCGATGCTGTTTGCCAAAAACGGGTCATACTCAACAGCGCCAGTTTTCATCAGAAACCAGTTTCAATGGAAAAACTTTGGCCAGGCCTAATCCCTCGTTTAAACAACGCAACAACTATTGGAGAAGAAAAAAAACCCACTGAACAACTGGACCAAAATTGTCAAACTTGGGTCTTCAGGTCGTACGTGGGCCCTTAAATCCGGGGGCTGATTGTCCCCGGTGCTGCTGTTGGCAGAGCCGAGAGCATATCACACACAGGAGTGGTGAGGTGAGGGCTAGAGAGCAGCATTAAACCTCCTCTTCCGTAGGGCACCGCCTGAGCCCCTCGCCCGCCTGGAGCACAACGACTTGACTCGTCCTGCTGAAATCGACGGGACTCACGGAGAAATAAGGGATGAATCAGAGGGAGCTACCAGGCCCTTAGTGATCTGCAGTGGTTCTCAACCAGGGGCCCGGGGCCCCCTGGGGGTTTGTGAGTAGGTTTCAGGGGGTCTGCCAAGCAGGGCTGGCATTAGACTTGCTGGGGCCCAGGGCAGAAAGCCAAAGCTCCACATGGGGCTGAAGCCCGAGGTCCCGAACGCCGCCGCCCAGGGCTGAAGCTGAACCCTGAGCAACTTACCCACACAGGGGCCCCAGCAGCAGCCAGCACGGCTGGCCCATGGGCTGTCCGAGCTGCAAGGCGGCCCCTGGGCCAGCTGTTGCAGAAGTCCCGGAGGTCCCGGAATAAGTCACGGAAAGTCACGGAATAAGAACATAAGAATCCGTGACTTCTGTGACCTCCGTGACAAACTCGGAGCCTTAGTTATAAGAGTCCACTGTGTGGTGTCACTAAGCCATGTTCCAAGTCTGGGGAGTGGCCAAGCCAGCTCCTCAGAGACAAGGGCAAACTGACCCCTCAGCCAGGTGTAAGCAAGGTCAATGGGCCAGCACCTGCTAAGTCTCTGTTCTCTGGCAGGAAAAGGGACACGGGCAAAAAAATCTGCCTCTGAGCGAAAAAATAGCCTGAGGTTCCCACCCACGCCCTCTGGCTGTTGCCATGCTCCCAGTTGGAGATGCTTCTCCAAGGGAGGGGGAGGACCATAAAAAGGAGGGGGAGACGCCCCAAAGGTTCCCCCCCTTTCTCTCTGCCCACGGCCTTCACGACACGGGAAGAACCAAAAGCAGCAGCGTTGAACTAGGGGGATCCCGACTGAAAGGCACTCGGCCTGCCAAGCTGCTGGAACGTGGTGAGAGCGACTTTGCTTTGAATTGACCCTGGTTTGGTACGTTAGGCACTGGTGGCATTTCACTTGGTTTTTCTTGTAACCAATTCTGACTTTTAGGCCTCCTAGTTTTGAAGTGAACACAAGCTCTCTCGCTGTAGTTAATAAACTCGTTTGACTGTTTTATCTAAACCAGCGTGTTTGGCTTGCAGTGGCTGGGAAGCTCCATTTGGGAGAACAGGATTTGCGCATATCATTTCTAGTAATAAAATGACAGCGGGCTGGGCAGTACAGGATGTCATTTCGGGGGGAAGTCTGGGACGGGGAGTGTGCTGGGGTCACCCTGCCGTGTAATTCAGGCTCGTGAAAGCCTGCCTGTGGCGGCACACAGACATAGCTGAGAGTGACTTACATGCTAGAGGCTGTTTGTGACAGTCCAGGAGTGGACACAACCGGTGCAGAGCAGTGTGAAGGACATCCCCTGTTACAGGGCAGGGGTGACACAGCTACTCACTAGTCTAGATTGTACCCCGGGTACATCACACCTTGTCTGACTGTTTCATAGATGGTATCAAAGAAGGCGATAACTGTCCTCTGGAGAAAAGAGAAGTTAGTTGAGCTGCGCTGGAGCTCTCCTCGATGATGATGTTGTTAAACTCCGATCCCAGTTCCTAAGACAACAAAACGAGACAAACTCACACAAAAGGGGAGAGAACAAAACAGCAACGAGAGAAAATGCAGCTTC